TCAGGACAAACCAATTTATAGTCCCGTTTTCACATTAAACTACTCGAGAAGGGAAAAACATCATTGAACACCTCTTGTTCAAATCCTAACCTAAAATATGGGCAAGACAATTCTGTAACATCCCATGCTTATATAAAATGCATACAACGCTATGTAACTCCAGCACTACAGACTGAGTTTCCTATTAACTCTCCTGAGATAACTATCTGGTATGCTTTTACCAATTTTTTGTTGTTGTTGGCAAGAACTGTTCTCAACAATGAGTACCTGGGGATATGCTAGGGAAAGCAGGCATCAATAGGCAAGTGGGGAGCGGTTCTCTTCATTTCCTTTTGTCCTGCAAAGTCTTCTCCTTTGCTTCCCCCTTGCACCACTAAAACCAGCAGGTGGGCTTTCAGGGAGCTGCCTTTCCAGCACCATCCCCGCTACCAAATTCACTCATTGCTACAGAATAATTGTGGGAAGGCAATTCATCAGCAATTGCAAAGCTATTCGAGATGGTAGGATACAGGGTGTTCTAAAAGTGAAAAGGACTGTTGTTCTGTCATACAAAGGAGTTTACAACCTATTCCTCATTCAGCTCTCGGTGCCCTAATAAAGTGGCAGCAGAACAGAATACATAGGATTGTGCTAGACAGAGGGTGAGTGAGAAGGAACAAACAGAAGGCAACTGGGCAATTCTTGACAAGAAATTTGAGGTCTCTGCTGTGAAGCCCCACAGCCAGCATACATGTAAGTGAGGGCTGTGCTACACCGTTTCTCAAATTCACACTGATAATTTTACAGGTCTGGTTACATGGGACACCATGCTAATCCACATCTGGCTTCGCATCTTAAGGACAGTTAGTGGCAATGATGAGATGTGTTGGTCTCTCCAGGACACGTAAGCAGACGTGTATAGTTCCAGAGCATGAAGTAAAGAGATGGCTGTAATCCCACACTGGGAATCCACCAGCACAGAGAGACCGCTTGAACTCTGTGTGCGTCAAATGAAGGTCACTGTAACACGTTGGACTGGTGCCTCTCTGTATGGCGGGTGCAGGCGGTGGGGAATAAAAGGTGCAACAATATTAAAAATATACCTTCGACATCCTTTGCCCTGCCTGAGACAGGCCGTCACGTGTCAGAAGATGAAGTGCTCAAAATTAAAAAATTAATCCAAGCCATGTGCTTGAACAGGGACTGTGCTACATTACTGGCAGCAGAGCTCCCAGTTGCTGCTACACTAGAAGGAAGAGGAATCTTCTCCCTCCTCTCTTCTTTCCACTCCTCGCTCCAAGTCATTGTAGCAAGCTCTACTGAGAACAAATATGCACTAAACAGAAGACAGTTCACGATCACGTAAAAAAAAAAACCAAAAAACAGTGACAGCCAGTTTAGGAAAAAATGATGATGATAATAATGAAAGGACATTGCTGCTAGACCCAAGGCAGATGGTGCAGTCAGTGCATCTAGCAGCAAGCCCAGCCTGGCGGGGTTGTCTCTTTTATGTTAATATAATCCCCACTCCCAGCAGCAGAGGAACTTCCATCACCAGTGGATGAGGACATCATCTTTTCAATCAGGACTCTAGAAGACAAACGTATGTGAGTTTGTTTTGGGTTTTTTAAACAGGCAGCATCGGGCCACACAGTTTCTCAGCAGTACAGAAAAGAAATAGCAATTCATTCTAGAAGGACACAAAACTCCAGAACTTTAATGACTAAACGATCAGGTTAAGGAGCCTCCTAGCACTGACAACAGCATGACTACTATTACCTGGCAGCATCAGAAGACTCTGCAGTGACCAGATAACTAACAACACCTACTGCAACCACCTCACCTTGGGTCCACTTTAGGACTGGGACACAGCAACAGGCTTCCTAGGTACGAACTGCCCAACCTCAAGATCAGGTGCGAATACCCAGTCTAACACCTTTCAGAAAAGGCCAAATTCTCCATCAAAGGATTGGTGCATCACAAAAGAATTTCTAGTATCTTTGCAGAAGAAGTCCCATCCTCCTGGTAGAGGCCAGCGTATGAAAAAACATCCCTGGTATTGTTCAAAGAATTTCTGCTTCCACAAGCATGTCAGAGCTTAACCAAGGAGAGAAAAACTTCTGACCTTTTAGAATTCAGTTTCCCTTCGGGAGATTTACTTGCGTGTTATTGCTGCTATTTGTTACTTACTGACAGCATCTCCCCTCACCTCAAAGATGACCGTGTCTGAAAGAGGGAATTAACTCTTAGATGTATCACCAGTCATTGTGCCTACCTCATGCACTCATTAATATTCTTGTTTTCCTTGACAGACGTACTTCTGACCTTTTAGAATTCAGTTTCCCTTCGGGAGATTTACTTGCGTGTTATTGCTGCTATTTGTTACTTACTGACAGCATCTCCCCTCACCTCAAAGATGACCGTGTCTGAAAGAGGGAATTAACTCTTAGATGTATCACCAGTCATTGTGCCTACCTCATGCACTCATTAATATTCTTGTTTTCCTTGACAGACGTCTCCACCTTTTTTTTGAACCGATCCACTTCGTCTCTTGTCACTGCCCACGGGGAAAGGTCGCACTATAAAACAAGAATCACTCATTTTCAGTTTAACCTTTTAATTTTTAAGCTGGGAGGGGAATTCTCCCCCTCAGCCACTTACTGCCTGTGTGCAGGCAGGCAGCAGGTAGGCTCAGCCCTTCACATCTCCCAGATCGCAAGCTGATAGTTCTTAGGGCAAGGTTCTTAATGGGATGTTGCAAGCAGCAATATATTTATCTCATCTGAGATACTTGACACACCTCAGTCAAGCATGCATGGAATGGAAGTTCATCCAGCACAGGACAAGAAAGCATTGTCACTCATCCAAAATTTGCCCGGCCTCTCAGCAGCAAGGAAACGTTACTGGTGTGGTGCCACTGAGGCAGCCGCACTGGTGCCACTGGGATGCCCAAGAGGCAGCGAGAAAACCTGTCCCATAACAGCTCGTGTGAGTCTGACTGCAGGGCGTACAGTCACACAGATTTCCCTAACGCAGGCAGAATTGTTACCTTAAAACAGCTATCGAGGGAAAGCATTATTTGTGAAGAAGTGGAGAAGAAAAGCCACTCTCCTGCCCACCCATCATGTTTTTGAGTCATCTCCGGTTTTAGGCTCTCTCAAACCAGGCAAGTCTCAAACTGAATCTGGAAAGGGCCGCTGAGCCAACGTTGGCACATGAAGACCATAAAGGTAGTTTTTAAACGAAAGAAAAATAAATCATTAAAAGACAGCAACCAATCTACACAGTGAAACTTGACACTGCAACCAAATGAAGACTAGACATCCCTCTGGCAGCTCTGCACAGAAACTTTACCTGCAGCGTCACACACAACCTTCCCAAGCTACAGCAAGTTAAAGACCAAAAAAGAAAAAAAAAGCTTTATAACCCAGGAGCTACAGAGCTCCAGCTCCGACAGCACGAGGCACTGCATCCTAGGACAGAGCAGTCGTTAACATCTCCTTAGTGCCATCCATGTATTAAGTCCTACCAGTGTCCTAGTTAAGGAGGAGAATCCTTGCTAGAGAAAGAAAATTCAGGAAGAGTTAAGGAAAGGATTAAAAAGGCCACAGGCTATGGGACAACTCTGGGCAAGGCTTAGTGCTACAGGGGTCTCCCTCCATTTTGCACTCCCGTGCGCACGCACAAACACACAGAGCCGCTCACTTTGTTAGCCAGCAGTAGGCAAGGCACGGGGTTCCCATCCGGCAGCATGAGCTTGCTGTCCAAATCCTGCTTCCACTTCTGGCTGTTGCTGAACGTGCTGATGTTGGTGACGTCAAACATGATAACGCAGGCTGACGCCTCCCTGTAGTACAGCCGGGTCATGGAGGTGAAGCGTTCCTGCCCTTCAGGATCAAAAGGAAAAAAAATAAATTAAAATTCCACCCCCTCCCCCGAGTTACCGTTTTTAGATTTGTTCACGCAAATAAGATGCTCATCACGGTACATCATTTTCTCAGCTGACACTAACAATCTCCACTGAAATCATGAGGAAGTGCAGGCGTTGAGACGCCTCCTGCCTGGGGTCCCTCAGCAATGCAGCGACAGAACTGGAACAAACTGGGGAGCTCTGAATCCTGACCCAGACACTCAGATGTCCCAGAAATACCTGCATTATCCCAGTGTAACAATTTAAAATTAGTGTCCCCGACCACGCATTCACCTCCCCGTGAGCAGAATCCCGCCAGCAGCCCGTGCCATGCCCATGCCATGTCCCTGCCCCGGCAGCACCGTGCCACCGGCGTGGACTCGTGCTGCTGCCTGCTGCGGGCACAGCGTTACAGACCAGGCTCTCCGGGGAGTAAAAATTGATTCTGAACAAAAACTGTTAAAACTCACATACACTGTTATTACTGTTTAAGCCTTGTGGCCTGCCTGTACTACCAAAACTGCATCCAGAGAGTAACTCCGCTGTGCTGCTGCCTGGTTTGATTGCACTTGTGTAGGCGGGACACACCACGAAGCATTCACATCGCATCACACGGGTCAGCGGCACGGTGAAAACCAGCTTTTCTGACACCGGAGAGATTTCACCGTGGGCTCCCATGCAGCCCCGTAGCCGGTCAACAGGCTTTTTGCTCTGAAGCCACGGAGAGCCGAGCACTTTGAGTTACCTCGAACCATCTGACGTTCTTTGCACACCCCTGAGGTGGAAGGCAACGCAGCAGGGACTATCGGTCGTGCATCCCCTTCTGCTTAGGGCACGACCGTGACCAGCGTGGCCCCTCTGCTTTCCAAATCTTAAACGCCTTTTCGGGGATGAAATGGAAATCAGTTTCTTGCTGCAATCCTCTTGCTGCAAACTTCTCCTTCCTGTTTTCTTTTTAAGGATTCCAGATGCACACGTCTGAGCAGCGAAACCGGAGGAAACCACAACCCTGTTTTCCTCACCAGAGGTGCCATTTTAGAGACGCTACGGCACCGGCCTGTCCTTGGTCTCCTGCTGCTAGGGAGATTCGGGAACCGCGTGTCCCTGCGCCTCTCCGGGGTGCCCCTCGCTCCACGCCACCGCATATAACGCTGTCCCCCAGAGCGTGCCCCACTCCGAACCCCCCCAACACCTCGGGGGCACCCAGCGGCCTCCTCTTGCCGTGACTGCTCCCGAGGGATCCGCTGGCTCCGCTCGCACAGGTCAGAGCAGCCAGATCGCCACTTCCCAGCCCCATTCCTGGTCCCGGCAGCCAAAGCAGCGCGCGGTCAGTGGAGCTGCTCCACGCTTAGACACAAGGATCAGGCCTTCCTGGCTATCATGCCAGAAATCAGGATTTTAACAGAAGACTTGGAGCTAAGAAGTCACATATCCAGCTACAAATCAGCCCGTTTCCCCATTCACTCTGCTCTGGCTTTAAAATTGAAAAGAAAGGCTCGATAGGATTTATCATCTGCACTGCTGTGTTCTTTGCAGATGGGCTTTTGATTAAATATTTAAATGACTACTGCAAACTAGAGACAGTACAGCAAACCAGAGCAGTCCTGCCCCTTGGATCCACAGGCTTTTAGGATTTATTTCTGTAGCAGACTCCTATTGAAAGAAAGAAAAAGAAAGGGGAAAAAAAAAAAGGGCCAAGCCATTGAGAGCTTTAAATTCTGCTCCTGAGCAGCTTCGTGGTTCGTGTGAACATACCTGCAATGTCCCAGAGCTGAAGTCGCACTGTCTCCGATTCCGACCACTGCACCACCTTCAGAGCAAAATCCACTAGAGAATCCCCCAAAAGAAAGGAAACTTAATTAGGGGCATTCTGCACCATGGGACTTGTTTCTCCGCAGCCTCTCACCATTCCCCAGCACAGGCCAACCCAGCAACCGCTTTCACAGCCACGGCAGTTCGTACTGGACCATCACCCACACCAGCACAGACCAGACACACACCAGGAGGTTCTGCAAGTGCTGTCCCCTCTCCTCCATCACAGAAAGCTGCAAAATAAGTGTTAAATCCAGAGGGTTCCACACACTGTCTGCTCCACACCCTGCAGAGAAGATGACCACACGCACACAAAATGCCTTCAGCTAAGCAGAAGTCGAGCACGTTATCGGCATCTCATCCCTCCCCTGGATGCTACGTTGGGCTTGTCCCTTCCTGAACTTCAGATTAGAGTTAAATAACATAACGAGTGGAGCAGCGTTCCTGCCCGTCTTGCAAAGCCCAGCCTGGCAGGTCTGCTGTTGAAGCCCTCGCAAACGGCAGCAGAGATGCTGCTCTGCAGTTCTTTGGGAAGGAGGACAGCAAGGTGGAATTTTTCCAGCAAACGCAGCGCTGGGTGGACTCCACTCCCCCAAATCGCGGGGCTTTTCAGAATCCTGGACCAGCAGGGTTTGTAACCATCCCATGCACAACTCCCCGTCTGCGGCAGGGAGCTCAGACACTCGTTCCTGGTCCCTGGAGTTGTAACACCGGCACTAGCGACACTAACCAAGAGCTAAGAAGCAGAAATTAAAATGCTCAGGAGTAAGAATTCCTGCAGCACATAACCCTGAATAACCACAGGCAAACAAAAGGATACTGGAAACCTTATTGCTTGGAGAGCTTTAAGGAAAGCTTCCCTCGTCTGACTCTAAACACCAGTACAATGCTGGATTTGCTGCTGCTGCCTGTCTTTGTTCTGTGCTGCCTAAACGGTTCAGCCGCTGGTCCGTGGAGCCCCGTGCCTCCCACACACCCACCCCTACACCTCAGCTGTAACCAGTGCCGAGAGCAGAAAGGGGAAATACTGCGTTTTTCTCAAATTACGATGCATCAGGTTTTCACTGCAGGGGGAATACTGTCCAGCTGCGCTGCCAGCCATGCTCAACAGGCCCGGAACTTACTGAAGCCAGGAACTGATAAAAAAAAGTAAAAAAAAAAAAAAAAAAAAAGGAAAAGAAAAACGTCTGCAGCTCTTATGCTGGGAGTGACAGCGCGGGCACAGCCCAAGCACTCTGCCCCAGTGGAATGTGGCCCCCCAGTGTTTTCAACATTCATCCCCTCTTGATTCATGAAGAGGAAGATTTAAACAGCCGTGCTCTGCCCCCACTATTTTGGGTCCTCAGGGAGATTTACTGGGTAAAGCCTTGGCACCTCCCGCTCCTTATAGATTATTTATTTACACTGATGTTAAACAAAGAACAACCGATCCCGCTTAATCTTGTTCCCAGCCTCCTTGTTACAAAGCTGTTGTTTCCCCCATCACCTTTCCAGAGCACTGCCAATACTTTAGCGGTGGTTTCGTGCTGTTAAATAAACGTCAAAGGGAGATTTACTGGGTAAAGCCTTGGCACCTCCCGCTCCTTATAGATTATTTATTTACACTGATGTTAAACAAAGAACAACCGATCCCGCTTAATCTTGTTCCCAGCCTCCTTGTTACAAAGCTGTTGTTTCCCCCATCACCTTTCCAGAGCACTGCCAATACTTTAGCGGTGGTTTCGTGCTGTTAAATAAACGTCAAACCAGCGCCGTTCTTGTTTTTGCTAGAAAGACCTGCGATCTCAAACTCTCCAGGTTAAAACTCCTGGGGATGGTTGTTCCATGGTTGATGATGATGATGGTTGTTCGGGATGGGGCACCCCGAGCCTGCCCTGAGGAGGGACAGAAGTTTGTCACCGGGGGCTCGCTGAACGCGGGCCGCGAGGAGCT